TCCGGGGAAATGAAATCGGGAAAACGAACGACAGACTCGAAAGACAATACCTCGAAGTTAATTATACGTTGGTTGCCCTGAAGCACCTTGATTGAAAGAGTAAAATAGAGGAGAAAAGATCGCGAGAGGTGAAAAAAAGGAAACGAATGATCGTTCGCTGTCTTCGAGTTGGTAATTGAAACAAATTGCCAACGACGCGGCAGCGAGGGCCGTCACTCTCGTTTCTACACCGACTTCAGGAAGGAAATAGTTACATGGTAATGAAAGTATTTGATATTTCGCGCGATAACCGCCGCGACTCGCACGCAAACCTCGAGAAAACTCGCTCGGTTTCGTTTCTAAACCGTTACGAATTTTCATTGTTAACAAGAACTCCCCTTTTAGATTAGAATCGGTCTTTCGAGCCTTAAATTATTCGTAGACAGCCATACAAATATAATAACACGTGCTGCTATTACGAGTTATACGAAGAATATTTCGAAAAAGCGATTTGAATTAGTAATATAAAATTTTGTATAATTTAATTCGAGTTTTATATTATCGATTTGAATATTGTAACTTAGTTCGAAAATAAAAGATCTTCTGTAATTTAATTCGGGGATTAGAGTATCAATCTTAATATTAATTCTCAATTTCCTAAATTTACAATTCGAAATAACAAGTGTTTGAAATAATCAAGCTTTATAATATTCAAAGAAAAATATAATATTACCTTTAGATTAAGTTTAGCCGCAACCTTTTAAGGATTCAATTACGTTAAAGTTTATGATTATTTTTTCGTTCAATTTCCATCATCCTTTGTAAAGTACTTTTACATTGAATAAATGAAGCTAGTCTTTAGAGCAAGAGTTATCCTTTTCTTCAATTTCCAACTATCCTTTTAAAAAGTTATCCTCTAAACTTTAAACTAGTAAAGTAATTCTTTTCGCTACTTTCTATCTCAATTTTTAACATAAGCTGCCCTTGTATTAAACGAAATTAACGTTCACGTTTTTTTCCGTAGTTTCCACGGTTCTTAAACTAATTTAACCTCGGGTTAAATAAAACATAGCTATTCCTTTCAGCGATAAGATAATCTGCATTTTCATTTTCATCTTTACTCTTTCGAATATTCCACGTTCGAACGTTACCTTCCGAATATCACCTAGAATCTCATTCCAACAAATATCCATCTTAATTCTCAAGAAAAAAAAAAAAAGAAATTCCAATCTAAAAATATTTGTTTATTTTCCATAAATCATCCCATGACCCATTTTTCACTGTCACGTGTTACCAACACGTATTTGCCTACGTGAAAACAGACAAATTGTCCCCCTTGTAGTGTCCTACCTGATTCTACTTCGAGCATGAAGTGTCCCCGACGATGTGTCTTTTTTTTCTTTTGCGTATTTTTTGCGGTATATATATATGTATTATATAGACGCAACAATAAAAAATATATAGACAAAGAGATCGTAAAATTGAGAAAAAAAAATAAGAAAAAATAGGTAAACGAGACAAAAAGAAAAAAAAGAGAATCAACAGAATTACACACAGGCTCTATAATCAGACAGTGATAAATCGTGTCTTTTGGGGAGGGGGGAGGGGGAGCAAAAAGTGGCGTTCGTATCGCGTTCCGGGTGTCATCTCTACGGATGCAAGATGCTCATCTACTATTCGACTAAGTTCTGGGTGAAAGATCGTAGCATTCTAGGGGAACTTTTGGAGATGTATACATTAGTGTATAATATTGATGTGTTTGTAGAGAGGCTGCAAGTACACGCGTGTCACAGATACGCGTACTTGCCTCCAGATGCACATTTGGCACGTTGTATGACTTGTATATACGTATATCGAGCATCTAGATTCAAGACGGCTATACCAAAAGGGAATCGTTTTGTATACAAACGTACATAATATACAGACATGTATTTGCGTATAGTAGATATTCATACTTTGTATTTTGGAACTTTGTTTCTAGCAGAAATTTATTTTTTTTTTCTCTATTACTTTATACTTTCTAACATTCAATATCATCTTTAACTAATTAAAACTTACTAAGTATTATTCGTATAATTTTGATCAAGTATTTCAGTGTCGAATTAGATTAGAAAATATTCGATTGGCATTGCCATGAGGAACATGAATGAACGATGAGAATATTCCTTTCTTTTGTTCAAAAATATGGATGTTTCACGCGTCGTTCCAAAATGTGCGGCATGAATGCAAAGACAAATAGAAAAAAAGTGGGGCACGGGTTCTGTGTTACGCATTTCACTGATGTCTCGTTGACAGAGTAGAGGCGCTACAAAATGGTCAGCAATACTAAACGCACAATAATCATTCGTAGGCATTATTCGCCAGTGGACCTAAACAGTTGTGCTCGACACGGTCACGCGATATCTCGTAAATGATACTTGAGTTCCCTCCTCTGATTACATATCCAGCGAATTCGCGAGGAAGATCGGTCAAATTATAATTTCTTTTCATTTTATCTTCTAGAAATAATATCTTTCCTTTCGAATTTTCCTTTCGCTAAATTGTTTTCTAAATTTAACCTTCATTCGATATCATCGAATTTTAAATGATCTACTAAAGTTCGAGTTGAATTACTTAATTTTAGAGTTGCAATTTGCATTTTACAGGATATAAAGAATTTCTCGCGTAAAATGTAGAATTCAAATAATCTAACTGAAATATAACTGAATTATTATAGTCTATATACTTATGGCTCAATGGTACCAAACGATGGTTAAAAATAAAAAAAAAAAACTGGAAAATTTGTTCATTTCGTGAATTGAGCAAATTCAAAGATTTTCTCACTTCGTAATCGACGCGTCGATTCGTAAACGAAACGTATAAAGATACAAAGAAACACAAACGATGAAATGAACGAATGATTGGTGACGATCGATGATTCCTCGCTGATAGTGATCCACCAGATCTTACGGATCGTTAGAAACGCTCAAACTTTCTTACAGTGTTGGAAGTTAGAACGATCGTCTGACACTTTGATCGAACTTTTGCTATTGGGAATGCGGTTCGAAGCGACGAAGCATGACTCTGATGATCGTCGTTCGGATATGATGAGGAGAAAACTGCTTGAGTCCACTGTGACGACGATTCGCGTTACCCAGAACTTCGAAACGATCGTTCTCGTCGGAATTTTATTGGAAATAAACAAAAAAAAAGAAAGATTACTAATAAAAAAAAAATATTATTAACACGATGCAATTTCTGGATAACGCAGCACAGTCCTTGCAGGGTATGAGGTGCGAGCCAAGTGCATCGACTATGAGGTACACGATGTGTGAATGAATTATCATGATAATTTATTGTACTAGTGTGCAGAGCGAGCGACGATGAAATTTGTCGAAAGTATTTAAGAAGAACTAATGAGTTCGATCCAGTGGAATTATTGCGATTGTGAGAAGCGATTTGTGCATTGGGCACGGAAAAGAGAAATTTTTGTTGATGTTGCCAATGAGAACGAATAGTTCCAGGGAGATTTGGGGGGTAAATTTCATCTCGCTGCTCCGGTAGTTCAAGTCTAGAGGCGGGGATCAACGCAAGGGGCTCTAATTCGTTCGGTGCACGAGCAGGAATGATCTGCGGTGCTTCATTTCGTGGCCACCGTTACTACATTTTACGTCTGTTTATCCAATTTTTTAACTCTACGTTTCTTTAATTTCCGTCGATCTTTCTGTAGAAGTTTTATTCGACGACTCTTTCGAATAACCGAAAGGCTAAACTGGGCCGAATTTTCAATGGATTTCGATCGAAAGAGAAGTAACTGTTATTCAAAGAAAAAAGTAGACGACAAACAAATCATAATGAAAATTTTCTCTAATTTCCTCCGAGAAATTTTACTTAACGATCCCTTTGGAGTAATTGAAAAACTTCAGTTCAACTGAATTTTTAATAGAATTCGATCGGAGAAAGACTACCGTGTTTTACAGCAAGAAATAGACCAATAACTTTTTACTTCCACGTCGTCCTTCCAATCTTTTCTAATTCCTCCACCGAAATTTGATTTTACAATCCCTCTCCGATAATCGAAATCTAAACTGAGCTGAATTTTGAATACCGTTCGTTCGAAATAAGGCTACCTGTAGATGTGTACATCCCCCTACCCAAAATATACAGCGCAAGGTATTACACACTGATTCCCATAAAATCTTCATTCTACTCGACAATTCCATTTTCAAAATATTCTTTAAAGAGAGAGAGAGAGAGAGAGAGAGACATAAAAAATACTGTCGTTTTATTTCCTTGAAAAATTGAGAAGTCCCTGGGAAACCAGCTCTGTCCTCGCTGTTAAATATTCCTGGACCCTCTTTCATCAAGTCCGACGCTTCACCGAAATCAGTGCGTAACACCTCGGCTGGGTCCCCTATTAAGCCCTGCCATTGTAGCGGTGGGTCGTAAACACTGGCGTTTGTCGTGGAAACAAAAGGGGGAAACATCCAGCCTGTTAACTCCACCCTCGGTAAAACAAGTAGGGTGGCCGTGTCTTTTAATAAGTGAAATAAAAGTGCGTGCGCGGGGCCACGTCGTGAAGCACCTCTTGAAAAGAACGAAAGATCTGCTGAACAGAACCTTTATAAAAATATATACACATATATAAATATAAATATATAATATATATGTATATATACATACAGAAGAGGGGGAGTTTATAAGAAGAATAAACGGGCAGTGAGAGAAGAGAGACGAGGTGGGTTTTTATGGGTTATGAATTCTGGAATATAAACAGAGAATACAGAATGTATAAACAGAGAACGAGTATAGGTACACAGAGACAGAGAGAGAGAAAGAGAGAGAGACAGAGAGAGAAACATGTATAACCGAGGGGTTCGAGGGTGAAAAAAGAGAGACATATAGTCGATAGTGTCGTTTAGAGAAAGATAAAGACAGACGATAAGGTCGGGTAGGGTTGTGGGCGTAAAAATTTAATGGGAGATATAAAAGTACTGTCTGTCGTGGTCCATGAAGCGCTGAAGAGGGCCGGAGGTACTTACCCTGTGCATCATACTTACTGGAAAAGTTCCTCGTCGCCAACATGGTCGTCAGAATAGCGCCCTGCGGACAAAAAAGAACACCGGCCACGATTATTCCTCTTTTACATTAATCGAGAGGACCGAGGAGAGAGAGAGAGAGAGAGAGAGAGAAGAGCAAGAAACACGACTCGCTTAACTTTAACCGGGAGAGGAAGTCGTACGAACGGCTGAACGAAAGTTAATCGCGCGAGATAAGCTGCTCGGCGGTTTTTCATGTTTTATCGCCACGGCGAGTTTCAGCGAGATCGAGGGATGAAGATTGGGAGCGCGGCAATGGCTTGTTAATTGGAAGCAATTTAGATTTGTGTTTCGTGCTCTCGTACGTGACTATACGATTAACTTACAAGAACCTCGATATACCTCGAACGGTTGAGAAGATCAACTATGGTGTTTGAAAACTTCTTTGTTTTAGTACTTAATCAGATCACATGATCAATATATCTTTTCTCCAAAAATGACTCATTTCGATGGAATTACTCAATTTAGTTTGTGCGGTGAACTCAGCTTAGATGAGGAATTCAAGAAACATACATAAATAGGAAGTAACTCGACCTTTATCGTTCATTTCAGCTAACCCTCCAATCGATAAAGAAAATTCCATTCTTCTAATTACGCGATCTTTCAACCCGACCAAAGCCATCGAGTCTTTTGATTACGACATTATTCGGTACTATTATACATAGATATTTCAAAGAGTATAAGCATTCTAAAAGATTCGATCAATCACACGAGAATAAATCCTACCTCTGTAATTACACAAGCTTCCAACGTAACCCAACAAAAAAATCATCGAACATCAATCAACGAGATAACAGTTTGGAAGACAGTTCTAAGACTTCTGACCATCCAATCATTAATCAATTTCACTTTTCCGAACGATGTAAGTCGAACCTTCAAGTTCTCCATTGCAAATTTCATTCAACAAAGAATAAAAATTTGAAAGAAAACTCCAAGTGATCCGTATTTGAATAGCCGAAAGACTCGACTGGAGCTCGATCATGCCAATTTCTCGAGAACAAACGACGATCTCGCACAGACACACGCGCAAACGCGAACGAATGCAGTCGTTCAGCGCAGCTTCTTTGTACGGCGGCTGATGGTACTTCCGGTCTTTGGTACTGCACGTTATTACAACGGTGAACTTTGGACCTGGAGACACTCGATCCCGTCTGCACGTCGGTTTTCCAACGATAATTCCCTCACGCTCGAGAAATTCTATCGTTATCGGTATTCCAAACGTTGAACGACGATCCAACGAACGTATACCACGTTGGACGAGGCACACGGATCGATAGATTAATAGCCCGCCATTAATTCGCGTCCTGAGTGTCTTTTATCTAAATTAAACGCCCACTCTCGCTTATCGACCTGTTACTCGTCGTATTAAACGATATTGCGCGGAATCGTGTCCTTTAAAAGATGGAAGTCGCTTTAAAGAGACGAAAGAAGCGAAATGTTTTATTCATCGACCTCTGCTAGATGGCAAGTGGCTTCTTTTTTAATGTACGTGTTCCTTTGGAGTAGAGAGGCCTTGTTAGATCATGTATTAAATACATTTCGATAATTACGTCGATCCAGAGGTAAATGCAATTATCGGCGAAAGTGGGGACGTATTTGATGAAATCGCTTTTTTAATGGCTGCTTATGATCGTGATTACATAGGAATGAATTTGTTAGACTTCTATGAACATCGTTTCTCAATTTCTTTCCTTTTCTTTTTTCTTTTCTACGTACTCATGAGGTAGATAACGAGCTTACGTATTATTCTTGAATATATTATGTAGAATTATTTTTCGTTCGGGGATTTGAATTTCTGCGTTTCTGCATGCGAGATAACCATGTTATTGGCTTTTTGCTCGATCCCTAATTGATTATAATTTCTACAATTATTAATACGACAATATCATAAATACATTACATGATGATAAATAATAATTAAACGATGAAAACGAACTTGACTTCGAAATTCGAGAGAGAAAAGCTGCCGTTATAAAATTGTCGCGAACATCCAATAAAATACGCACAGAAGTTAACACCATTCAAAGAGAACAAGATGAACATCGATCTTTGCCGACCAGAGCAATTCATTTATCTGTTGCAAGATTTTATAAAATTTAACTTCTCTTTAATTTCAACAAAATGGTATTTATAACAACATCTTCGATACTTAACGTTTCACGATTCACGCAATTACATAATAACCTGTACAATTTACAAGTCAACTTGCTATATACAATAATATGATTTCCTGAATAAATACGCCTTCCTCTAATGTCCATCGTAATATGATAAACGTATCAATTTTTATCAGATTTACCAATAAAATTACATGCTCGGCATGTCTCTACAAAGTGCCGACAAACAGGTGATTACCTTTAAACAAGCAAATAATTAAACGAGAAAATGACTAGGGCACACGGACTAGTTTCAGGCCGACTTTCTCGAAAACCGGAAGTGTAGACGAGGAGAGAGTGGCGACAAATACGAGCGAACTAAAGCAAACAGAGCTAATAAGAGTGGCGTCGATGCAACGTTTGACGTATCGTTCGAGCATCCAGAAAATATTTACGACAAATATTTGCCGGCAGAACAATCGATTTCGATTAGAGGCCGGTTTCTATTTTCGTTTCGCGCGAGCTTCTGTAATACGCGTCGTGTATTTAAATTCCGAATATTAAATACGTGGACGGGCCAGGTAGTAATAGAGAATCGAGCCGTCGCCCTCCTCTCGCGCGATTAAATATTCATGCACCGTATTATACGATACGCCTCCGTTTCTTTCCGAGTCGTGTAAGGCTCTCGTTCGATCGCGCTGCGTGCCGGCCCGGTAAACGAGAATCAATTCCTTCGTTTAATTGAAACAATTCCACGTATTAACTCAATGGAAGTTTACTGCTCGGTTCGTATCGCATGAATATTGAATTTTGATCTTGCTGCCTGATTTATTTGTTGACAGAACTGGCAGACTTTTAATCGGAATAATTATGAAACATGTTATTTTAGCGCGTTATCTAACGGACAATGTTATCTAAATCATTCGCATCGCTGCAAATTTCTCTGGTTCGCGTTTATCGTATTTTAATCGTTCTACAAAAATTTAGATAACTACCGTAACAGTCCGTGCGTTAAATAATTTTTAACCGAGTATATGGACATGAAAGTTTCTTGTAATACAATGTTCGAACACATTCGCGAACCGATGTATTTCGAAACATCGTCTGGTCGAACGATCTCCGTAAAGAATCACGCGAAATCTCTTTCCCCTGCCGAAAACCATTAAAAAACACCGAATAAAAAGACCAGCATTTCTCTCTTTAATTACAGCACGACTCGACATCATAATGCGAGTAACAGCTTCGTCCACTTCTCATCGATCTCTCGACGACTCGTAATTACCTTGAAGAACATCAAAGCAGCTTGTTCGTCAGGTGAAAAATTCCAAAGAAAGGAAGAGAGGAGAGAAACGGAGGAAATAAAAACGAAAGAAACAGAGAGAAAAACAGAAGGAATGTCTGATCGAAGGTTACAGGGTTGGCCACCAGTGTGTTCGAGTGTTCCTTTTGAGCCCCGGAAAGTGGAATGGGCAGACAAAGCAACCGGATAGGAATGGAATTACTATGTTCGAGTTTCGAGTTTCACGCCGGTTCTCGTGACGATTGAACAAACTCTGGGAAAGGGGTCGTCGTTTAATAACTCTTGGCCGAGCTCGAAACTTCGTCATGACGAACTTGGTGTTTTCCTTATTCTCAGTTCTTTAGTTTCTCCTTTCCTTTTTTTATTCTTGGTGCTTTGCGTGGAAGATCACATTGTATTTAGTTTGAAAAAATACAACCGGTAGATTGATTACTCTGTAGATTAAATATAAGGGGTGGCCGTCTAATCTCGTTGCAACGAACTTTCTTTATTTTCTTGCGAAAAGTTACGTATTATTTAATTTAACGAAATTGGAAACGAAAGAGTTAGTCGATAAATGACCGTGTAGGATAGATATTGTATGTAAAAATAGACGAATTGATTGATTAATGGCTGTGAATGAAGATTAAGTATATACCTCAGGAATGGTGGCTTCCTGTTGCCTGCACAGCACGAATTTATTCCTCAATGCTCTCATGTTTGTTATCCTCTGTCATTCACTTCAACGATGAATTTCAGCTTGGTGCACGACTTTTATTAATAGCTTCACACTCTCACGCGAAACATCACTAACAATGAATAACGTTTGGATGTCATTTGAAGCACAAAGATTTCTTCATTTCCAACAATTGTAGAAATTCTGTATCTACTGCAATTGATATTCTAATCTGTATATAATCTAAATAATTCTACTCTATAATAATAGGAATAATTTATTTGATTTCGACCAAGAACTACGACTTGGTTCCAATCTTTCTAATCCCACATTTCCTCATCCGATCTTCTTACTCATCCTTTCATACATTATTCTTCAGCTATCCTTAATCAAGATACTGCATATTAAGAGTCTACGCTGTAGTCTCTACATCATACTAACAAGGAGACAGCAAGAACTACGAAATCTTGAATGATTTGTCTGTATGTACATTCGATGATTTAAGTTGGTGGTAAAACAGCTCCAAAAGGATTTGAGTGTAATTTTGTTCTCTAGAAATTAATAAGTCTTTTCTTATATCTTACTTTATACGTTCTTTTAATATTAGTATTATGTTCTTTTTTAATATTAACGTTTCACAATTTATTTTGATAAACTTTTCATTATTTCTATCTACCGAGAAATTGCTGTATATTTTTACAATTTTACGGATAGAAATTGTAATAAAAGTATTTGAAACATGAGAAAGTATTGCACCGAGAACATAATTTCTCAATTTATTTCTTCGTATTATTTCTGCTAGCCATCGCTATTGCTAATCGTCTGCTTATTGCAATAATTTTATTTATATTTCTCCTTTGCGTGATGTATATCGCGAATCCTCAACCTTCTCCTCCGAAGAAAGAAACGAACGTGCTCTAATCACCAATATCCTAATTAACCTAGTGTGCGACTCATGACTATTTCATCAAACGAGATCGCTTCCTTAAACCGATCACGAAAACATTATTAACGCCATCTAACACCCTTAATCGAGTCTCGGGTCACGAATCACCCGAGAGGCTATGCACGAACGCGCGTCTACCGGTCTAAGTGTACCAATCGCCCTTCGTAAACCAGCTGGACATTAAGTTCGTGCGCTAATTACATTCGGTTTAATGGAACAATCGCGTGATTGAAGGCTCGCCCTCCAGCTGCGTTCAGATACTATCGTGAACTGAACGAAAAACACTATTTCATGGGGGTGGGGGTTACTTATGCGAATAGTATATCGGTGGATTAGTAATTGGTTGCTTAATCACTGCCACGTACGAGATGTACGATCGTTCCCGTAATTATGCATCGTTCGTTCGATTCTCTGCCGATATTGTTAGACAAAAGTTTCGAATCTTTGGACGAAGTTTGCAATGTAAAAAAGAAGAATTTTTTGCAATGTAAAAAAAGAAGAATCTAAGAATACGGAAATTTGCTTTTTAGAATTTGAAGGTTGAATCTTGTTTGCGAAAAGTTGAGAATCTTTGGAAGGTGTTTGCAAAAAATCTAAAGAGTTTAAAGAATTTTTCTTTGGGGCGCAAAGTATCTGGAAATGTAAAATTTCTCATTTTCTACAATATAAATTTTAAATTTTGTTCGTCGAATGTTCCGAATCTTCGGGCGGAGTATCAAGTCTAAGAAGAAACTTTCCTCGAAGGAAAAGTATTTAAGGATCCGTGAAAATTAAAAATCTAAAATTTCTAAAAATACTTTTCAAAATTTAGACTTCGAATTTTGTATACTTAAAAATCCTCTCGCAGTAGTGTAAAAATATGTTGAGAAAACGATCCATAGAATTCAATAAAAAAAAAACTGTGAAAAATGTGAAATTGGAAAAAACATATATGAAAACTGTGTATCTATCCATTGGATTTAATTTATCTACATTTCTACATCCATCATATATTTATTCCTATCGATCAGAACGAAATACAAAACCAATGCCAGAACAGGTCATTCGATGCCAAAGGTAACAAGATTACGAGCTTCGTTCCTCGCTACTTAACAATTACCTACCACTTCGCTACTCCAATTATTACTATCATCTTGTTCTTGGTACACGCATTATGCTTATTATGCTACATTCTAAAATTCATTCTAAAAATGGAACACGTTAAACCACAAAAATCTCGTCAAGCAAAATCAAAAGGTAATCCATCTATATATCTGTATACTTATATATACGTATTTGTGTGTCACGCTTTGATCAGAAAGCAATATTCTCCTCTTCACATTTCCAAATGCATTTTCACGGGCGCAAGAATCAAAGCTATACATATATAGAAAAGCGAACAAATTTCACCAGGCTCGATTAATATTCGGCACACATCGAACGATACACATACTGTCCACTCGAATAACTATATCATTGCTATTCGACGTGATTGTCACTACAGTTTCGCCAGTCGTGTCCATAGAAACGGATCACTTGACAGTACACGCGATACCAACGGCAATTCGTGCCACACTGTTCGCAACAGTTGGAATCGTAAAAGTCGTCGAAGAGACTGACTAGGTAGGGGAGTCGGAAATCCACGAATTCCCAATCAAAGAAGGCCTACGTAAGGCCTTTGCCACCTCCAATTCCCGCGTTTAGTATCTGTGAAGGTGTTTCGGGGACGAAAAGGGGATTAGGAGACGATGGCAGGGGGAATATGATTCTTCCCCATGGTTGGTAATGTGACACAGCATTTGTAAAATGATTTTGGTTTCTTTATTTCTTTGAAATTCTATGGCCATTTATACTTATTCAAAATTTAGAAGGTGTCGTATTAGTTTAAGTGATAAGTATACCGCGGATTTCTATGTGTTCGTACGAAATTTGAAGATACAAAAGTGCACAGAACGTGAAATATTTAAAGCAGAGTAAACTCTTATTTTAATCTGCGTTTAAGTTCTATTACTACTAATCAAATTCTATTGATTGCAACAATTTCGTAGGAAAGTCCGCAGTTTAGTTATAAGTAATTTCCCAAGTTGGCCTGGAATTTTGTTATTTCGCTACTATGGGATCGTTCGAACGATTTTAATTAATTTCTTTTCTTCGAATTTTTGTGGTTATTTAGAATTTCATTATTGCACTTAAGCAACAAACTTTCATTCGGCTGATATTGTTACATTCACCTGATATATCGGGAAAAAATTCGTTCTATGTGTGGGATGACCTACTGCTTAAGGGATGATTGAAAAAGTTGTGTAAATGTAACACGACGTGATTGAATACCGGCAATCCTGTAGTTGATTCAATTAAGAACAATTTCTAAATAGAATTTCTCTTCAGAGGTGAAATAGTCTATTCAAAATAGAAAGTGGTAAAATTCTTATAATACATTCTCGAATAAAGATCGATGAAAAGTTGACCAAAATTGCTAGAAAATTATCTGTACAGCGAATGTGAAAAAGTTTAACGTAAAACTTTTCCGCTTAATACACTAATATAACATTATGCACACCTGAAACAAGGACGTAACACAGATTGATCAATTGTTTCACGGCCAAAAAGAGGAGCCGATTGACCCGACAAAATAGCCACGCAGCAGCAAGACAAAGCGAACTCAATTTCGAGTTTCCTCTGACCAGTTCGCCATGGAGTTTCATGGGTAGAAAGGGGGGCCAATGGTTGGACGCTAAACACCGGTTTATCCTGACAGAAGCCGTGCGACTATAGATCATTTAACGGGCTGGCGCACCTTAACACTCGATGTCTCGAATCGAAACTTGCGTGTAACTAGTTAACTGGAGTTCCGGTACAACACGTCGCCAGCGAATTTCCGTTGTTAATCGAGAAACTCGCGACCCCGTACGTCAGCCTCTAATTATTGGTTCTCCCATGGACTTTAGGCTATAATATTACTCGTATCCTAATTCGTTATATTTAACACTCATACCACTGTATAAACATATATATTATTCGAGCGTCGTTAAAAGTTTTCCTATTCCTTTATTCTTTGTCAGATATTTTAGATCTTCTAGGGGAATAATATCAGTATGACTGACATGTAGGGATATGTCTTACATTCATAGAAAATTTTAGCATATAAATCATATGCGTGTACGATATAAGTTTATGTCTAATCTAATACGATAAATCTACTGCTCATAATTATCCAAACGATACACAACGACTAACAGCCTACGAATATTTCGCGACTAATTGAAATTTAAGACGCATGTTATTTCTAACAAATAATACGTTTAGTATGGTGCATAGTTTCAATAAGGAATCGTATGTACGTTAATATTCTTTTATCTTTACAGAAATGGAACATAAGCAGAGGTATGTTTTATCGCACTGGCGATTATGTCTGGTACTCTACTTTAAATTTTTTAAGTGTCTTCGCATATTTTACACTGCGCTCTCTGCATCGTAGCAACTTTACGTATCGCAAATGTGCATGAAATTCCGCATTCTAGCGATAAGAATAGCAGAAAACGCCTATTTATCTTTATTTGCAGTAACAGTGAAATGAAATAAAGAAGAGTTTAAATATTATCGGAATGACTACGAGCGTTTGACTCGTTTCTCTCCCTCGTTCTTTTCCTTTCCTCCTTTATCTTTTTTATTCCTTTACCTTCTCGCCTTTTTCCAATTTGTAAAAAATCCCGAGGAAATCCCATGGATGAGCGCGCGAGTATTAATTAAAATTGAAGAAGAATAAGGATAATAGAAGACTTACTTTTAATTTGCGCCTTGCGTTGAATTTCTTCAAGCAATCCACAGTCTCTTGTCTGTGGACGACGGACGCGACACGTTCACGTTGCTGTAACACAAAAGGAAAAAGAAGAAAATTGACGTTGGCTGTTCGAGATGCTCCGCAGTGATGGATGCACGTTTCACGAGGCTGATTTTACTTACGCAGATCCACGGGTGCTTCAGTGCCTCGCTGGCGGTGATCCTTTTGCTCGGGTTCACCGTCAGCATCTGATTGATTAGGTTCTTGGCTTCCGGCGTGACGGTGTCCCATTCTGGGCTTGGATACTGCCGGAAACAAATGAGCAGAATAATTCGTTAAATACCGATAAAGATGACAAGTTTTATGACGATCCCTGTTGTACGGTATTTAGGTCATATTTTCCCTTTCTTTGACATTTCATTAGACCTAAACCTCTTGCGTTCTTTGGGTCATTTTATATTTTCTTATCGTTAGGAAACTTCTCGAATTCAGATAAAATAAAGAAGCGTAGTGATATATGTGCTGTGTTGTTCCAAATTTATCGTGAACGTTTGAGTATTAAAAGTTTCGTTTTCAGTAAGAACGAAACCGAGATCAAAATATTAAAAAATGAGGATCACTGCGAGATCGAGGAATAAACAGAAAAGTTTTTCATTGAACGAAAATAAACTACAATTATTTTTTTGTATTATTTCTAGTTTAACTTGAACGACTAATCCAAAAAATAAATGGCAGTCGATTGAATTTATAATTGCAGCGAATTGAACTAATTCAATCAAATTTAAACGAAAAGAATACAATTTAGGGCGCGAAGCGCAATCCTTCTAATCCAGAAAACAATTTACGATCGAATAAAAAATGTAGAAAGCAATCAAGCGTTTTTGTACACGATCGATCGATTTTTAGCCGAAAATTTGTCCAAATCCCTCGACAGGGCGAAGGATTTTCATGAAGGCTTAGCTTGAATAAATAAATTGATCGATCGAACTGCAGGAAGATTGGCCAGGAAACCGAGATGAAAATAGCATAAATAAATTGTTCTTACGTCGTATGATCCGGCCTTGATCTGCGCGTACAATCGATGCTGATCCTCGTCCCAGAATGGTGGATAACCGACCAGGAGGATGTAAAGAATGACACCGCACGCCCAGATGTCGACTGGCTTGCCGTATGGTTCTTTCTTGAGTACTTCCGGGCTGAGGTAACCCGGCGTCCCGGCGAAACCTTGGCAAAAATTATTTCTAGTCATTCTCGAGAGAAATATTATCTATATTTTGCAATAAAATATCGGATGCGGCAATTAACATGTTTCTGCGTTTTCATTCAATTTCTATATTTAAATAATTAATTCACAAATCTTCAACAAGCAACGAATAGCGGAATGGACGAATGTAATATAATAGAGAGAATATTTGTATAAAATATTTCAAGATAGAAGAGCAATAACCAAAGAGTTGAGATATTTTTATTTCATCGCAGTTATTTGTAAGTTCATGTTTCGTGTTTTTATGTTTTAGTTACGATTTATGTATGTAATTTATGTAAAGCCAATTTCTAGGCAATCAAGCTGAAATGAATAAACATATGCATACATTTTTGCACAGAAATTTTCTATGTTTAAAAGGTTATTCTTATGAGGCGAATTTTCACATTTTTAACAAGAATTAATCGTAAACATTCGTATTTCGTTTTACGAAGATGTTGGATGAAGCTTTTAATGTTTTCTCTCGAACTATTATTTTATACTGAAAGAAGTTTCTTTGTAATATCTGGAAAGGAACAAGATCGAAGATTTTATGAATTCGAAGTTCTTAAAGTCTTTACTTATGCCGTGAGTTTCGTAGAATTAGTACGTAGAATTACTAGAAATTTTCTAGAACTAAGAAGGAAATCTTTATTTTCAGTACTGGAAATATATGTAAAAGCGAATACAAAAATTTAAAAGAATTCACTCGCAAGAGGGCAAGTCGGTGACGATCTCTTACGAACACTTTATCTTTGGAAAATTATTTTACCGTAAAAGGTGTTCTTTTTCGAACCAGATAACATTGACGAATTTCGTAAGCTTAAAATTCCCGAAATTTGTATCTATGGAATTGACTTTTCTTTGAGGTAACTTTCGTGAAACTTCATAAAAAAAAAAAAATAAAAAGTTTCACGAAATAACAGAAAAGAGCTTACGAGCTCTTTAAAATGTCAGATATCGTCAGAAAGCTTGATTCAGAATCGAGGTAAATAGGTGGCAATTTCTTGCACAGAGTGGAGAAGATCGAAGCTAATCTCGCCACTATCTACGTTTGGCTCGAGTATCTACTGCTCGACCATTATGACGTCTTGGAACTCTCGACGACTGAAGTTTCGAATTTCGCGCGTTTGATGACGAAGATACGGAAACCACGGCCTCGACCAAAGTCACAGTGTCGAAGGAATTCCGTGGTATCGGCTTTTCGAGGACGGAAACGAACGTCAGCGTGTTTGAAGCCGGTCGTTCGATAGACAGTCGACGATGGAAAGTGGTGAACGCTGTTCCATAGACTCCAGCCATCAAAATGATATCGTTCGCTGTTGATACTATTTTTATGAAGCCGAATGTGCTTGTTGCGTTGTCATTTCTTTCAATGTGAACGTTATTTTAACGCTCTACCTGTTGAATATATGGACGAGAAGTCCAAGAGCTTTAGGTTGTTGCACGATGTTTTGTTGTTGATATTTGAAACGGATCTCCGACGAATGGAATACGCGTTAAGATGAGTCGTTATAAACCCATTTAATTTGGAGAACGTGTTTGAGATGAAAGTACGGCGCGAAATTAAAGAATCAAGAAGAGAAGCGAAAATATTTAGACGGGAAATGGATCTGATTGAAAAACGAAGAAGAGAAGAATATTTGGACAAGCCAGTTCAAAGAACTGTCTTGTTTAATCGAACTTTGTTAGTTAAATTTATGCGCAAGAAGAATTATGCTCATAAAAACAAGATTAAGACACGAAATGTAATTTTTTACATTCTCAGACTATAATTCCAAGAAGCTCTGAAAAAAACGTTGTTTGTCAATTTTATGTTTTATATCCTTTGATAGCATACCAAAAGATTATGAATAGGAAGAATTGTATTATCGAGGAAAAATTATCTTTAAAAGAATCGTTTCACCACAATAATATTTATCTACCCTTTGACAACAATCCCCTTGTCCAATTATTAGTAAAAATAACCATCCTCATATATCTAAATTACGTTTCTCCTATAGTATAGGTATATTCGAATCTCCAATAACATGTCTAACAATAACACAACCGCAAAAATAGAACAACCTACTGGGATATATTTTTTCACGCCTGAAAAACACATGCACGAACATATTCGTGTACTTCAACCCCTTTCAAAAATTTGCAAAAGGGTGCGCGCATGGAAAACAATTTCAAGCAGAGCGGACAGGCCTCAATCTGGCTGGATTGTTAGCGAGAGAGGAAGAAAAAACAACATTCAATCTCGAGGAACAATATGAAGGAATTTCAGAGGGCGAGAGCCAGGTTTCCGGTTTGGATCCGGAGCGGAGTGGTTCTTTGACCGCAAACACAATACGGAAAATCTCTGAAGAGGGAGAAATCTATTTTGCCTGCGAAAACGCGGAAACTTTTCCAATAGCACCGGGCGAACTTCAACGGAGTTTCTCCCCGAGTAAAAACAAACGGGAACAGCCGGTCGAACCAGCCAGTTCTGACGTGACACGCCCGTACATAAATGCACTGGGCTGCTTCTATACGATGTACGACGCGCGTCGACACGAGAAAGAGCCGAAAGGAGGATGAAGAATCCCCGGAAAATAGGGGGAAATGAATGGAAATGTCGACGGCCGGATTTAAATCGCGAGAGCGTAGAAACGGTGGAGAAAAACGAATAGAAGAAAAGAAACGTAGAATTTCGAGCGAAAGATATGATGAGAGATCATTGGAAGGGAAGACGAAAATTTACTTTTCCAACTCATCTATTTATCATCGCACACGTGCAAATGTTAATTCGTCAAACTATCAACGAGCTTCTCCATCATTTTTCTTTACTTTCTTTCTTTGCTCTATAATTACAGATAGTGTTTCTACGATACCAGTCGTGTTCGCGGTATGAATGAAAAGATAGCCGTTTATTTTTCCTATTGACGATTTCTAATTGATAATTCTGACGATTTTATGGCCTATAAAAATGCTTTCGGCAACAATTTTCAATACGTCTTTCACTTTTCTCTTGAATAATTTTCTTACATTTGGCGGACAAACGAAAGTTTATAAAATAAGAAATATAAGAAGACATAAAATAATTTTACAAAATGGATTTATATTCGATAAGAACAGTGAATAAATACAGTATATACTATAGAATGTTATCAATATGGTAAAAAATGTTTAGTGCTGAAATTATTGAAATTCATAATGTATTAAATTTGTAACTTCCTTTTCGAGTCGTTTTCAGAGTTTCGAGAAAAACGAATGTTTGCCGAAGAAAATATAATATAAAAATACAGAAAGGAAAAAGAAACAATATAAACTTACCGAACCATGCCTGTGCTTCACCCTGCACCTCGATCGCCAATCCGAAGTCCGCTAATTTCACAGCCGCGCCCTTCGCCTTACTTGCGAGGAGTAAATTTTCGGGCTGCAACAGGAAGCAGACTCGTCGACATTCCTGCTCACTCTTCGCACAAACCGTTGCCGTTGTCCTGCATTTTTACGCGGCCATGCTGTAGGTTGATCCATCAACAGGAGATATATACGTGCATGCTTGACACACATTGCGGCTCTACCTTCTACACTGCGCTGCTTTTCACTCTCATCTTTTCCTTTCTTTTTTTATTTCTCTCCCACTCTTTCGGTTTCCACGAAACGCCACTTTTCGTACGGTCGTGTTCTCGCGTTTCTTTTTACGTATTTTCTTCCCTTATCCACCCTGTTTTTTTCGTGTCCTTCTTCTCGTCTCTAGTCGAATTAATTTCCTTTTTTTCCCCTCCTTTACGATTCAAAAATTTTCCGCACGAAATTCGCCCATGACGACGAATGCGTTCTAAATCTAACGCGCAACGCGACGATTTAAACGATGATCTAACGCGAAATTCGGCAGTTTTCCAGATGTGGAAAAATGTTGCATGTCCAAAATATCACTTTCTGTGGAACGATGTTTTAAACGACGATTAAACGTAAAATTGGTACACGCGTCAAGTTTTGGATCTATTCAAATATTCTTGTGCCAGTAACTTCCAAAGAATTGCTCTGAAGAAAGTTGCGAAATTAAGTAGGAAAAGGATAAACTATATTATTACGCTCTGCGGACTTGATTCGTGTCGGTCGTTGAAACAATAACCGAACGTAAAAATTCAGAAACCTAAACCTGGAATTTACTCAAATTTGCTGTATCACTCATTCCGAAAGTTTATTATGATATTTAGAAAAATTGTCTATGAAACTGATTAAAATTGCTGTTCCATTTTCTACGTATTCCTATTTTACCTTTTCCTAACCGCTTATTCCCGTTTACGTTATATTCTTTTTTTTTCTTGTTTTTTTAACCAACAAACCGCTCATGTCCCATCGACTATCGAGCCCTAAATCTTTATCTGAAAATGTTTGGTTAAACAGACTAAACCTTTGCATTGCCAATGTACTGGACCCTCTCAAGCATGGCGCTAGTTCGTCCGTAACATTCGTTTCTCTACGTACTTTCAGGTCCCTGTGCACAACTCCATTGTGATGGCAGTGGTGAACGCTTTCCAGGATTTGTTGGATACAATGAGATGCGTCCGCTTCGCTGTAGAATTCTCGCGCCACGATATCCTCGAACAGTTCGCCGCCGGTTACTCTGAAAATGACATATCCCATGTCTCTTCGAATCTTCGTTTCCAAAGATCGGGGAGGAAATTTTGGAAAGTGGCGAAATTAAGAAGGTCGATTTCGAAGAGCAATCGAGGATCGGTGGATCAGATATTAGGAAATTGAAGAATCGAGGTGCGAAGCAATTTGATGATTAATCAGGTATCGTACAAAATTCACAGAAATAAATTTCGAGATGAAATATGAAAAAATGGGAAATTTGGAAAATATCGATATTCACTAGAAGCATAAAAATTCCAAAGACTCGCAAAGAATATCGATCAAGCTGGCAATTAAATAACCTGCCGTAGTAGTTTTCACCGCGGAACATCGATACCTCGCGACCATGCGAGCTCATTAATATGCAAATCGAGGTTGATTTAAATTCACGAGGGCAGATCGTTCGAATAATTAGTCGGTGACTGGAACAAATTAACAATTACCGAACAAAGTCGCGAGAATAAAGGAAGCAAGGGTGAATGCTGCAGACGTTAGGGTAAGTTTAATGTTCTGAATGAATTTTGAATTCTAATTATGTTACGGATTCTCTGATGAAACATTTAATCATCGATAGTGTTGTTGCAAGTTAGGTTGAGCTTTCATACAAACCAAATCGTTGATCAAACTTTCGAAAGTTCTAAGATACAAATCATTCTCAGAATATAAAATATTTCTCTTCAACGCGAATAAAAAATATTCTCTAAAAAAAATGCCCTTCTTTACGAATTAAAATTCCTAATAGAAATCTTTAAAATTAAATTGATTAAAGAAAATTGAATTTTAGAAGCATTATATCGTTGTTGTAGGTGTATAAGCGGTGTTTACTTACAGGTCAAAGACGAGGTAATGGTGGTTTTCCTCCTGTATGCTGTCGTGTAATCTCACTGTAACAGAAATAAAATTATAACAAGTTAATATCGTGCTTTCTTGTTAAAAGTAGCAGTAAATTTAAATATCGTAGAAAGCTAGTTTCAACTATATATATACACCGATGTATTTTCTTTTTACTACGGTATTAGAGACCATAATGTTTGATATTCCAGTGATTTAAAAAGGAAATCTTCTGGCACAATTTCTTCTGGCAACAAATTCTTTGTTCATTATTTATTCTAGCCAAAATTAATAAATGAACAATCAACAGGTGATTGTAACAATATTTAGATTTTAATGATTTTAAATAACCTACCATCAGTTGCTATTTCGATATTTCCAACGATATTCCCGAAACGTTTCCCTGCAAAGCTTTCCAAACGAGAAGCAACAGTCATACGCTCGGCGGAAAAAGAAAAGATAGAAAAACATTATCCACTCCATCCTCATTTCGCCATTAAAAGCCAGAAACACAGTTTCGGGGCGCAAAAGAAGAGACTTTAATACAGAGAAACGATAATCTCGGTTTTCCTCTATTCTGCGATATTTTCTTCTTACTCAACTGTTCGCGAAACAAGCATCAAATTCTGACAAAGATAAAGAGAGGATGGTAAAAGTAGAAGAAGGCGCTCGATCTCTTCTCGTGGGTCGAAATTCACCGCCTAAAACCGGAGACGATTGCAGTCGCGAGACGATCGAAGACGCGGAAGGAAAATTGTCGCGATATCGTACAAACGATTTTCATGGTCGCTGGACAAATTGCACCTTCACCCTTGCAACGCGTTCCATGGAAACGACCGCCATTACGTATGCTCAAATTTTCGTTAGATTTTGTTCGTTTAACGCTTGCAGGATTTTTATTAGTTGCAATTAGACAGCGGATGTCTATGCAAATTCATATATTTACGAACGCAACTGAAGAAACACGGATTTATTTCACCCTTTAGTATCGTAGAGGTACATTAAGGTACGAGTATAGTATTATAAAAGCATGATCAGTATATATTAGTCATTTTGTAGTGGAAATCTCACATGATATCAAGGTAGTTTTTGTAATGAGTCCTATGGAACTGTTATATATTATTGCTATTTCTACTATTGCTATTGCTATACTATTGCTATTTTGGGAAAATTTTGTAAAATCTAAACCAACGCAATAAAATACAAAACTCGATTGAAAATATTAATACTAATTAGACACGTTGTGTCTCGATAGCAAAAATGTAGAAACTCCAACAACACAATATTTAAATCGATAAACTTCCGATAAAAAGAAGTTTCATACTATTACGATGTACTAAAATTTTACAAAGATAATTGTGTTTTACATAGATCGCTGTAAAAATTTGTCCAATTTGCATCTTCCTCTTTCCTGTAGCAATAAATGCCGTGTCAGATCCTAAATTCACAAAGTCAACATATTAATTACATTTCAGAAGTCCAATTAGCCTTTCATTCGACCGTTTCTCTTTGTTTCTTTCCATTTCCCTCCTCTTTCTATTTCCATTGCTTTCTAGTCGACCGGAATGCTCCTTCGTGTATTTTTTCATTAATTTCAGCATATTTTTCTGCCTTGAAAATACTATCAACCAGGATGTTCCTTCGTATATTTGTTCGTTAATTTCGCCATATTTTTCCGCTTTGAAAATACTATTCGGCGTTCCTGGAAAATGAACGGACAAGCTGAAACGTATGAAACGTTGCAATTAAGAGTTTTAGACGAGCGTAGGGAATATAAAGGCCTTGGATGGGAAACGTGGAAACGTTTTAGACAGGATGGAGTAACGAGGAATTATTTAAGCGCGAGAATATTCGGTCGTGACATGCAAACTGAACTGAAGATCGATACACGTGCACACGGTTCGAGTATCATTTGCATCCGCGACAGTTTGCTCGATCACGACGTTCATTAGGGTCAACGAAGAGACGTTTCTCGCGATACAAACCAATGGTGCCCGTCGAATCGGCCTTAATTAATGTCAACTGAAAGCGAGTCCACGCGAAAATCCTACGTCTACCACCGTAGAACGTTATCTTACACAGAAAACAGCTTCAGGATATCGTGATGAAACCTCGAGGAATATTTTCTTTATTCTCTTCTCTTCTTTAAACATCGAGAAATTTTGTTATCAGGTAAAATGAGTTTTCTTTGAAACGAAACTTTTCAACGAAATACACGAGATTACTTTTTACATTTTCTCCTGTTAAAATGAATTGAAGCATTTTATTATCGAATAGAACGTGGAACTTTGTTTACAAAGAGTAGTCTTTTCTTGCAGAGCTTTTGGTGAAATATAGCTCTTCATGCACATAATGACAGTTCTTTGGAAATTGAAAAATTCTTCTACTTTCGAATGTTGGGTAAAACGTTGAAAGCTTTTTTTTTTCTTTTTGAAAAGAATTTATGCAAGTTTCTGCAATAATATAAAACTCGTATTTACATTAAACGTACGAATTGAACTAGCCAATTTTCAGAAACAGTCTATCTATTTCAAAAGATGTTGAGTAATGTAAACATCATGTACGCTGTATATATCATAAAATATAATAAAATTACCTTGCAATCCGCCTTTAGTAACAGTAATAAGCATATCTGGACTATTTTAACGATTGATTGAAGAGTTTGGCCAAGGAAGATTTTAGGAATATCAAAGAATATTTCAATAAACAGCGGACTCTCGTCTAAACGCGATCGAAGTAGAATCATGCAATCGTACACAGACGGCGCTTCGCGTCGAGTTCCCTATAAATACCAAGTAGACGGCCAAAAAATTGGCGCCGTGTGGGTGGCAACACGACTATTTATGATGGTGGCTCATAACACAAGCAAACAATCTACGAGTATCGACGGAATTTAGAAATTTTCGGAATGCGTTATACGTGTTCGATGAAGGATGATCTTCTATATATAACAAATATATAGCTGAAAAATCGGTAGATGAAAATACGAATTTAGATTTTTATTAAAATTGCACGTACATGTAAATTCGATCAGATAAGTTTTTCTATTTATTCTTGAATGATTTAATCTTTTAAGTTAATCTTTTAAATAAATACGATAACGAATAAATTCATCGCACATTTATATTACTTTCTTTTTGCGCTGTTTTCTTTTACATCGACGATCGAACGCGTCGATCGAAATATCTTTTAAATAAATACAACAGCAAATTTATCGTACTTTTATATTACGTATTTTATTTTACACGATATACCTTCGCGTTTCAGGATCAATTAAAACTTCTGCAAGGTTTGCTTACCGAATAGTCAATAACAAAAAAAGCTGAAAAAGTTTGCGTACTAAATTACCAAGTTTAATAAATCCTTTTTCACGTTTTACACGTCCAAACCCTTTCGGACAATTTTCTTGTCAAACTCGTAATCTCGGAAAACAGCAATAAAAAAATTTCTTCCCTCGATATCCGCACAGATATGGAAACTACAAAATCCACAGTTGTATCGGCTATAAATTCGATCTTTGTATCTGTACGTCGAGAAGAGATCTTGCCAGAACTCGACGAGTGTCACGATTCGACACGGGTTGGAGGAACCAGATGCGGAATTTAATGAAAATGGAAGAGATATCCAGAAGGGACGAGACAGCGGTTCAGACGCCAGATATCCTTCGTCCTTCATCCTTTTCAAATGATCCTCAAACCGATCAAAGCTAGCACGAACGAGAAAGATGAGAAGCCTATCTTCCCGCTTTTTGATACCCTCGACCGATCCAATAAGGATCAAGAGGGTGCCGGAGATCAGAAGCTAGAGCCGGGCCGTTATTATGGGAATTTTTATCGACGAAAAAGAAGGCAGATGGTAGAATGTGCAGGATTCGAATCGAGGTAATTTTTCTACCACCACGAACTATCGCTTGTCGTTCACAGCGATAAATGCTATCGAGGCTCCAGAGATGGTAGATGCAACTCCGAAGCCGAATGATGGTATTGAGATATATGTAATTTTGTGTGTTGTATTGAATTAGCCGTGTAGTAGTGTTACACATATACGAAGATGAGTGTGTGTGGGAGTAGGTGCGTGCGCAGTGTCTCGTAGAACAGAAGAATGCAACTGTTCCGTACGCATGGTGGTGAAAAGATGGTGAGACAAAAAGACACGTGCAATGGGTATCCACGAATATCTTGTAAATCACATATTAAATGAATATGAAAGTATTTTAATATCATTTCTACGTGTAATGTGAGTGTCCCTACATATTTATTTCGGTGACTAAGATCCATAATTCTCAACAGATTTTTAGATTTAACGCGGATGGGTACGGCGGAATTTTACTCGGATATATTGTGACGGGAAGATATTTCGAATTTATTTGTATACGCGTTCGAAAATTTCTAGCATTCTTTGCTTCTCGGACGAAACAAATTTGTTCGTAGATTTTTCCGAGATATGCTGTAATTTTTTACAACAATAGGCAATTGTTGGAATGTTTATTGGTATTATATTCTAATTGTTTTTAGCCATTGTGTTATATTATAGCTGTGATTTTATTCGTATCATATCGAGCAAAATGGATTGAACGAGATTGTTGAATAGTTGGAACAGAAAAGTTCGATTCGACTGTTTCTAAAGCGGCAATCTGCTTAAAGTAGTTCCGGTCATTAAATCTTCTTGAATTCAATGATTACGTAAATGGATTGGAAGAATGAACAGTAAGACGGTGCAAGTTAATTCAGTGCTTCTGAATCTAAATATATTTTCCTGTTTGGAATTTATCGTTTCGATGACATCTTGACGAACAGCTTTTTGTATTTCTAATATAACATCGCAATTTTTCGAATCGGTTCAAATTTATCGATCGAACGATACAAAGACTTTTCTCTTAATAAGTTACAAATTTCGAAATAAATTCAATATCTCGCGATCCATCAAATCCACAAAAAGATCCGCGTAATCTACAAAAAAAAGATCCGTAAAGCTTGGATTATGTTAGTTTAAGTTACAAACACAGGAATTAGATGGCAAGATAAGACCTTAATGTCACACAATGCGCTACCGA